GCAGTTCGGGGGTCACTTTTCGCCAGACAGTGATTACCCCTCCTCCTCAGAAATCAATTACCATTTTATTTTTACACTGCAAACTTCATTCTCACCTAGCTAAAAGTTTCCTTCACTGTCTTAATAAGCAGATATCCTTAAAAGACCCAATTTATACAATGCATTTACATATTTGTTTTCTTACCTCAATATTATGCTATTTGGTTATTTTATTAACTATACACTCATTTCGTTTTTCAAAACCCATGCTGAGTATATGAAATGTTTGGGATGCCAGTTATGGGCACTATGTATTGGTAAAGAACTCTCTTTTTGGTACAAAGGAAGCAGAATCTTAATCAGCGATTTTGTATTTCCTTCCTCAGAGAAAAAATTCCATCCTTTAACTAATATCTTGTCAAGACTTTGGAATTTTTAATATTTAACACACATATTCAGGAGCACATTCTATAAAATTTAATAGAAAACATCCTAGAATGATTTTTCACTTATATGCAATGGCAAGAACTCAATAAATATTTCTTGAGATTCTCAGGATTTATCTTTGACTCAAAGGTTTCAAATCAAACTTCAAGTCTTCTTTAAAAGGTAAAAGCATGCTATGGATTTGTTTTTTTAACAGGTTTGAGGAACATTTGTTATTCACTAATCAATATTATAATCTGTACAACTTTCACTTACATTTGATTCTTTGCAGCTTGCCTCTGAGCTTTTCTTTCTTTCCTTTTCTGATCTGGTGGCTTTGCAAAAACAATTTCAATATTTTCTCCTTCCAAGTCTTTGCCATTCATTTCTTCCATAGCCTTAAAAAAATTAGGTACTGATGAATACAAGAGACCTTTCACAACTGTGATTTACTTAAAGTTAAAAAGAAAAATCATTTATCGTTAATTTCAGAAGAATGAGACAAAACAAGATTCTTTGATTTAAAAATCCAGCTCTTCAACGCATATTTTTGACTTAGTGATGCAATCTCCCAAGGCCAATAAAGGTTAGCTTGAGTAGATTACATGACCTGAGTTTCCTTCAATTTTCTAAAACCTTCTGATTTCAGAATAACTAAAAATCATTAGCTGTTAATTAGATACCTATGATTATTCCCCTAGTTATTTACCTTGACAGCACCATCTCGTTCATCAAAGTGAATGAAAGCATAATCTTTTAATTTCTTCACTCGTTCCAGTTTCCCAAACTGACTAAATGCCTTTTCTAAAATCTCTTCTGTTACAGTATTAGCCAGGTTGCGTACAAACAGCACTTTTACCTGAAATTTAAGAAACAGAAACTTCTATGTATTTCCAAACAATTAAATTTCCAAGATGCCACCACCCCAGCCCTGCAAACTGTCGCCACAGTCCATTAGAATATGAACCAGACTCAGCTCTCGGCTCGCGTGGACACACACTAAGCAGCCCTGAGCTCAGTGAGCGGCGTCTGGACGGACGTCTCAGAGACGCACAGACGGCGGCCAAGCGTAAGAAGAGATGCTCAGTATCACAGACCTAGACCAGTGAGCCATCATTACAAACTATCAGAATGACCGGCCAAAATACAAAACACTGACACCATCGAATGCTGTGGAGAATGTTGAACAACATGTTCACTGTGTTAGATGCAAAACTATACAATTTTGGCAGCTTCTTACAAAACTAAACTTACATTTGTACCATATGATCCACTAATCACACTCCCTGATACTTACTCAAAAGATGTGAAAACATGTCCACACACAAGCCTGCACGTGGATGCTCTGTACCCCTGAACTCATAACTGCCAAAACTTGGAAGCAACAATGCTGTCCTTCAGTAGGTGATTGGATAAACTGCAGTTCATTCAGACAATGGAATATTACTTAGTACTAAACAAGAAATGGGCCATCAAGCCATGAAGACATGGAATAAAAGAAGGTATCTTAAATGTTACATACTATATGATTCCAACTATTTATATGACATTTGGAAAAGGACAAAGCTATGGAGATAGTAAAAAGAGCAATATTTGCCAGGAATGAAGGAGAAGAGATGAAGAGGCAATCACGAAGAATTCTTAAGGCAATAAAAGTATTCTGTATGATACTATGATGATGGATACAAGACATACGTTTGTCAAATCTATAGGATGTAGAACACCAGAAGTGAATCCTTATGGAAAGACCGAATTGTGAACTTCTAATTCAGAACGCTGATTTTGACAACGTACCACTCTAGCAAGGATACTGACAGTGGGGAGGCTGTGCAGGTGTGGCGGCAGGTGTGTGTGGGAAACCACTGTACTCACTGCTCAAAAAGCAAAACACGCTGCGCAGAGCCTTTTCTGAAGTGAAGCGAGAGCCACTCAGTCACGCTCCACTCTTTGTGACCCCATGGGATTCTCCAGGCCAGAAGATGGAGTGGGTAGCCTTTTCCTTCTCCAGGGGATGTTCCCAACCCAGGGACCGAACCAGGGTCTCCTGCATTGCAGGCAGATTCTTTACCAGATGAGTCGTGTCTGACCCTGTGTGACCCCGTAGATGGCAGCCCACCAGGCTCCCCCGTCCCTGGGATTCTCCAGGCAAGAACACTGGAGTGGGTTGCCATTTCCTTCTCCAATGCATGAGAGTGAAACATGAAAGTCAAGTCGCTCAGTCATGTCCGACTCTTTGCTACCCCATGGACTGTAAGCCTACCAGGCTCCTCCGTCCATGGGATTTTCCAGGCAAGAGTACTGGAGTGGGATGCCATTTCCGTCTCCAAATTGAATACTATGCCATCTTAAAAAGCAGTTGAACTTAACAAAGCAAGTCAAAACTAACTGAAACCCTTCATAGGGAAGAATATCCAAGCATTGTTAAGTTAAATTCTTCCACTCCTGAAAGATCCTCAAAATACAACTACAAATTTAACCTGGCTAAAAAATATCACTTTCTCCTAAAATATCTGAAGTAGCATCTAAATTTCTTAATCTAAAGGGCTAACTAATGAAAGCTGAATAAACCAAAGGAAAAAAAAGAATCTAAGTACCTCTGTCCTCAAGAATATTTACCGTTTAATATTCACAGCTCTGATACTTCACACTCCTTTCCTTATTTAAGTGAACTCACTCTATTTGCTGGCCTATCACCATTAAAGAGGATTCTTAAAATGACAAAGGGTAAAAAAAAAAAAAAGACAAAGGGTGGAGTAACTTAACTGTGAACTGCACTGGTAAAATGGTAAAGTGTTGACTCAAGAGATATTTGTTCTCATAGATGTCTCAACTGACTGCTGAAGCAGGATACCTAATAATAGCCAAACCTTGTAACTGCAGCAGCTCCGCTGAGGCCAGTACAGTTCACTATTTTTAGGAGTAGGACTTTTAACATAAAAACCATGTAATCAGATGGCGCCATTCTCAAAAACTTGCAGAAATTGCTCTTTGAATCCACACAGAAATGAAAGTCAGTCACCTCCACAGCATGTAGGCTAACTACTTCATGAAGGTTATGATGGCTACACAACTATGGCTGAGGATCCATGAATAATTTCTATATTCACCCTCCATGCGCTTGTTATTTATTTCTGGTGTGTGGCCTTTAACATAGAACACTTCTCTCACTTTCAAAGCATAGTTTAAAAACGCACACACACTTTTCCTCCACTCTCTAAAGCCCTCTGCTGCTCCCACCACCACCACAAAGAACGATTTCAACCCAACTGACATTACCTTCGCCATGACCTCAGGATCGGGGTCTTCTATAGGGTCGGCCCATTCGACAGTTCCAACATTTCCCCAGACCTTGACTTTACCACTCATTAACCTGCGTCTTGCCTGGGCAGCTGTCTTGTGATCTTCATATTCAAGGAAACAAAAGCCTCTGTTTTTTTTCTTGTCGTCTGGTTGGTGGTATAAAATGACGTCTGTAAGACCCTCTGAAAGGAAGCAACCATTCCAGGGAAATTAGATAAAATAAGCAAGAATAAGCAGATCAAAAGATTTTTTGCTAATATCATCCTTAAATATCAAAATGAAAACTAATCTCTTATCATTACAAGAGATAATCTACTGAAAATGTTGGTCCAGATATATTAAAATGTATATTTTAATATATATAAAAAATATACTCAAAAATACTGTCCAGCTCAAAAATACTGGTCCAGATAACTTGACCTAATCCACACTTTCCTCAAGTATTCCTAATGCAAAAATCTCCATTAAAAAAAAAAAAAGTACCCTTTTTACTTAGACCTGAGAACTATTCTGCTTTCATTAATTAGACAACAGAGCGGCATGAAGTCTTTACAAAGCTGTTTTAGGAAAACCAGAAGTATAGAATGTTTCATCCCATCCAAGTAAAACCTAATATTTAATGGCACTCTCCTGGCCTCACATATCAGTATGTTTATGTCAAATGAAATAGACTATCTTAACATTGTGTAAGAATTTCAAATGATCCTGGAAACTGATAACAGGCTGATAATTTGCTAAATACATTCTAGGCAGACAAAATTGTTTTCTTATAAAACCCTGTCACTTGGAAACTTAAATTCAAAGACAATGTAGACTCTGCTTCTACCAAGAGTACTCACACTATTCCTATAATTTGGAAATTCAAGTCATGACCTACCAAATATTTTTACTAAGAATGTCAACCAGCACCTCAACAGGCACAAAAACACACAAAGAAATACAATCTTCCAGAACAGGAAGCACAACAATGACTGTGCAGATTGAGTTCAAATCCCAGACATATTCCTTACTACCTATCTAACACTCAGCAAGTTATTTCCCAAAACCTTCTGATTCCATGTCTGAAATATGCAGATACCTATCTTATATGGCTATAGAAAGAATATAATGAGTCAATAAATGTAGTGCTTAAAACAGTGCTTGGCACATAGAAGTATGCAATTACCTTAAGTATTACAACTTGCACCTCCTTCCAAATAAATCCAACTTACCTGTTACTTTGCTAAATTCTTCAAGAATCTGTTCCTTGGTTTTACTCTTAGGAATAGAGCCCACAAAAAGCCTGTTGTTGGCAACCGAGATGCAGACACCAATGTGTTTTCCAGAACGAATTTCATGATTATTATACTGAAAGGGGGAAAAGTGCACCATGTTTTAAAAATACTTAAAATATCCTATGATAGGTGCTTATTACAGAAAGACACACAAATCCCATACACAAAAGCAAAATCTTTTAACAAACTAAAAATTCAACACTTAAGTTTATCAAGTATTTCTGTCCTTTAAAAAATTATAATCTGAGACATAGGAAGACTGTAACAACAAAACACACTGATCACGTTTATGAACTAAACCAAAAATTATCAAGTCCTTGAAATTTAGCAAATCTGATAAGAATCAAATCTGTAAGCATCTTAAATTCCAAATTACTGATTACACAATACCTTGTTTTCTACTTAAATGCATCCTGCTGACTATTTCCACGTAAGGAAAATGGATTCAAATTGCCAACAAGCTTTCTACCTTTCTGTTAATCAGCACTTCAACCTTATTCTTCCATCTCCCCTAACCACTCATAAAAAGTTACAGTAACGATTTTTCGGCTTCAAATCCTTACGTCTAAAAGGAGAACCTCACTATTCTGAATCTGGCTCAACATTCCTCCCCATTTCATTTTTATCAAGCCTATAACATTGGAAAAGACAAGTAGATTATGGTATAAGTATAGAAACAACTATAAAACTATAGTAAAATGTAAACAAGCTTCAAGTGACCCTAATTCTTAAAAGGCAACAAAACCATACAGGCAAAACCCAAAAAGCTCCTATTCCTGTTATTCTGATTCTTGTGCAACAGGTATATAAGGTATGAGTGAAGGAAATACATCTAAGAAAATTGATTCCTCACGTCCCTTTCTCCATTATCTCCAGGTATTCAAAATTAAACATGAAGTTCAAACATCTTTGCCTCCAGTTCACAAGAGTTTTGTACTTTCTGACGCCCACTGACTCAGTTCACACTTAGCCAAGTCTCTGGTCATCATTTTGAACTGTGGTGTTGGAGAAGACTCTTGAGAGTCCCTTGGACTGCAAGGTGATCAAAGCAGTCAATCCTAAAGGAAATCCTGAACATTCATTGGCAGGACTGATGCTGAAGCTGAAACTCCAATACTCTGGCCACCTAATGCGAAGAAGAGACTCATTGGAAAAGATCCTGATGCTGGGAGAGAGTGAAGGCAGGAGAAGAAGGGGAAGACAGAGGAGGAGATGGTTGGATGGCATCACCGACTTGATAGACATGAATTTGAATAGGCTCCAAGAGTTGATGATGGACAGGGAAGCCTGTCATGCTGCAGTTCATGAGATCGCAAAGAGTGGGCGACTGAACTGGCTGACCGGTCATCATGATCCCAAGACTACCTCTAGTCTTCACACTTATGCCAGATACATTCTTTTTTTAAAATCACAATTTTGCCTATTGGGGGAAAAAACATCCCTCAATGACTCCCCATCAGCAAAACAAAGTTCAAATAGCCGGGCATCAGTAAGTCCATCCTAAAATTCCTCCCACTTCTTCCCTTTCTCCACACTATTGTAATCTTGGCGAATGATGTCAGTTTTCTCACACTTCTATGCCTCTGAATATAATGCTTTCCCTAAAACTTCACCATCGAAATCTCTTCTGCATACCTGTAGATTTGAGCTCAACCAAATACTTTGCAATCGCTAAATCCTATAAGGATCAATAAAAACACCCTTCTATGTTCACACAGATCAGTAGTTCTCAACAGATTTTGCCCAGGGAGTAGGGAGGCACATTTGACAATGTCTAGACAGATTTTGGTCAACTAGACCTAGTGGCTTAGTGGTGAAGAATCTGCCTGCCAGTGCAGGAGGCAGGTTCCATACCCTGGAGAAGAAAATGGCAACCCACTCCAGTCTTCTTGCTTGGGAAATCCCATGGACAGAGAAGCCTGATGGGCTGCAGTCCGTGGGATCACAAAAGAGTTGAGACACGGCTTGTCGACTATAAACAACAGGCAGATTTTGGTCAACTGGAGGTGGGACTTGCTGCTAGTATTTAGTGGGTAAGTAGAGGTCAGAGATGGTACTCAACATCCTGTAATTCACAACATGGCCAGCATGATGGCCATCCAGTCTACAATAGTGCTGAGGTTACGGAGCACTGCCCTGGACTTTGTTTTCTCATGCTATCTGTATTTAGACCAAACACCGCTTAAAAGCAGAAATATGCAGTTATCTGCAGAAAGTAGACCTATGGTTGAATCCATCATTGCATGGGATTATGGACAATGAGACTACATAAGTAAATTAACCTAAGAACACAATAAACTAAGACATGTACATTCCCTAGATTTCTACACGTAAGCATCGAGTAGCCAGCCTTGGCGACAAATCAATGACTTTCCATTTGGTCATTTAGCCTGTAATTTCAGAAGTTGACCAAAAAAAAAAAAACACTAAAATCAGGGGGAAAAAATGGAATGGAATACAAAGTTTTAAAAGGAAAAGGGAGAAAGAGGAGTTACTTTGAAGATGACAGAACTTGTTATCACTCCCTTTTTTGTATCTCTGTTTTCCAAATATTCTAAGACCAGGGGCTATATACTTAATGCTGCTTCAAAATGGTGATAACTGTTGCCATTATTTTCCATATAAGAAAAGTTTCTTCCCTTCTAACCTATCCTCACTAGCCCTGCTCTGGATAATCAAGGAAGGGTAGGTAGAGGGTATTTAAAATGACAGTAGTCTGAACAATAGTCAGACCTGGTAGGTTCCCAGGTGACACCAGAGGTAAAGAACCTGCCTGACAGTGCAGGAGATGTAAAAGACACAGGTTTGATCCATGGCTGGGGAAGATCCCCCGGAGAAGGAAATGGAAACCCACTCCAGTATTCTTGCCTGGAGAATTCCATGAACAGAGGAGAGGGGCCTGGTGTGTTATAGTCCATGGGGTCGCAAAGAGCCAGACACAACTGAAGCAACTTAGCATTCATTCATTCAGTCTGAACAATAGGAAGCTATGAATATTCAGCAAGACTTATAAAGAAAACTGTAACTCTTCATCCACTTTTTTTTTTAATTTAAAAAACTGAAACATTTTTAACTGACCAATAGGCAGTAAACTGGCTCTCCAGTGAAGTCGTTAAAGGAAAAAAGACCCTCTGGGCATTGTCCAAATGAAGCAAAAGTATCTAGAAATAAACATTTTCAAAACAACGTCCGCACCTACAGATTAACCATGCACTTTTATATGTATATTTGAGTTAACTTTTCTTACTCTAGCATTTTTAAGGCCAATCTATCATCTTAAAGTCAAAATTAAACTTTACATCCTAGCAGGTGAGTAACAGTGACTTAGATGGTAGAAAGGCATTACAAAACAACTGTTCTCATGCTTACTAGAGATTCTAATTTAATGCTGATAAACCCTTACTCTCAGGACTATATGATGGTATCAAGATAAACAAAAAAATGTGATCTTTTCCAAACTCTAGGAAAGTTGGCACTGAAGTTAACAAGTTTTAGAAATCTAGCTTTCAGATCCAGTAGCAGTGAGGTAATCAAATAAAACAAAGATGAACCAATATAGTTTCAGTATTTCAGAACACCAAAATGAGTTGTAGAGCCTGGAACATTCCCATCATCCAGGCTCAGAAACACGAAGTCACTCTTTCCCTTGCCTCATAGCCAATCAGTCAACAAATCCCCAGAAACTGAGCAACCTCAGATTTGGAATCTGATCCAGAAGTAGTTGCTCAGTCCTAACTCTCCTTATAGCAGCAAAACGGCTGCCTCCCAAGACTGTCCACTTAAGTCTTCTTTACATTGAGTCAAACCTACTTCCCTAAAAATTCTCCATTAAATCTATTATCTCCCCCGAATGAGGCACTTCACATACCTACACACAAGGCCTACAACTCAGTCCTCTTTGCTTGGCTAATCATTCCCTCCCTGAAATTGGAAAGTGCCTCCAAGAGTGTCACGAAATAGTGACATTCATAACACAACAATACAAATGCAGGCTAAAACTGAGGACTCTAGAATAAGCTGGAGACTATTCTAACACTTCTAAACACCGGCTTCTATAACATGCAGTCCAAGATTATCTCGGCTTACTTGGCAATCATACCACACTGCTGACACACTACAGTTTACTTGTGAGTAAGCTGTGTATAGGACCTGACTTCCAACCCCACTCAATTCCACCTTCTGGTATAAACCACTGTCCCAGGTTACCAGTATCTTTTCAGATCCTTATTTTGTCATCGCCCACAGCATTTATCACCACCTGTAGATTCAAGTCAAACATCTCAACCAGTCCAACTATACCCTCATTCAAATCACTGATAAGGAAAAAAGAAATACAATCTATAACATATTTACATCATGCAACCTACACTAACGCTCAAAACTTCAATGGCACCATGCAACTCCGCCCAGTAGTCAATGACTACTGCCTTTTAGCATTCACTTAAACAAGCTTCATCTTTCTTCCCACAAAACGCTGCTTCAACTCAATTCATGTATTTCCTTCACTGCCTCCCTACTCAAACCTCTTTAGGACAAAGCCTTCTCCAACACCCCAACTCACAGCAATCTACCCCTGCATCCTTCCTTACCCTGTGACCTACCAGCTTCCACTTTAATTAAATGCAGTTAGTCCCTCATGTTCCAGAAACCCCAAAGTCAAGAACTGGATCAAACTACTTGTACGCTCACAGTGAAAGTTTCCATATTGTTCACAGTAAACATTTGCTAATTGCTACTTAAAATACTTTGTGGACCTCTCTTGTCAGCTGCATTCACTGAAGTGGTTGTACACTGGTGTATACAACCACTGTGGTGAATAAATCATCATTGGCTATTAAAGTCACAACCCTTAATGTGTAAATAGAGGTCAGTATTCCAGTATTCGCAAGAAAAGTTTTTTCACTAAGACACTTCCACTGTATTGGACCATAATGGGCACTTGCAGAGCCAGTTGCCCTGGGCTCCAAATCCAGAAGCACACATACAAATACACACATACACCTGCCTGCATTCCTCTTGGAGTTTGTGACAACACCAAATGCTACACAGGAGAAAGTGTCACCCTCCCCATGAAATCTTTGTTAATCCCTAGGGCTGATGGTAGCAGAGAATAATCGCAAATGAATGCTAGAAAATCTTTCAGTAAGACAGCACTGGTCAGCCAGTGAGGTTATTTATCCAGTACCTATTCTATAGTGGCACTGTTCTGAATGTCAGAGATGCAGAAAAAGAGCAAATTCTCTGAAGGGAAGAGAGATGCAAATAATCTTACAAAATCAAGAAATAATTTTAAGTACATCTAAGCATTTTTTATAGAGCCTTGTTTAGAAGCCATTAGATCTAACCTACACGGTAAAGGGTAAGTCTGTAGAGAGGGCAACGGGAAGCAATGAGACTAGCTAGGACTCTTCAAATGGTGCCTTAGACTAGGGTGGCAGGAAGATGGTACAAACTGGTTAGATGCCAGAAATAAATCTGGCAGCAGAGAAGACTTACACTCAACACTTTTTAAAACCACCTAAACCACTACACAAAGAATCAGGCTCACTGACAAAATAACATATACTGCTGGTTTAAACTGTTATGTCCAGTTAACAGTAAGAACACGCTAAATAAACTAAGCCTGCAAGGCCTTGGGCAAGCCACCCAGTCCTATTTATTCACTGCAGAGAGAAGTTATTCCACTTACCTTGAGGAATGGGCTGCAGTGGAATTTAAAAGTGATACTGTGGCACAGAACACAGCTCCTACACCTTAACAAGCACCCAAGTGGGCTATTACACACCTTTTCACAAATCGAGATCTTGCCTCCACGGCTAGACTATCATCATTTAGAGATACATTTTCTTATTCCCCCAAATACAAGGCAGATGTTAGATGAAAACAGGGTGACTAGTAAGTTTGCAGTTGCTTGTGACTTCATGTCTCTTCAGCTGTTAACATCAACCCATTTCTACAAGTAATTCAGATGCAAATTTAAAATCTACAGTTTTTATTGGAGGTCATTGTTGAATTATATGTATCAAAAAATAAGACCAAATATATATAAACTATCTCAATCTAAGGTATTTCTCAAGATACTCAAAGTATAGGAAAGCAGAAAGTGATGCTGCTTCAATCTTGTCTGATCTATAAATAATGTAAAAAAGGCATTTTCTCAACATTTGATTATGTACAACTAGAACAGTTCAACTATCTTATATAAAAACTTCTTTGATAAAGCTGTAATTCAAGCAGACTTGTGATATGACCCAAGTAGGAACAGTCTTCAATATGCTTCCTGAGAAAATACATTTGGGGTGTTACTCATATCCAGGAATCAAAACAAGGTAGCAAAAACATCCAGATCAACTTCAGTTTTTTATTTCTCTAGAATGTTTCATTTCCTCAAAAGCCTAGTCCTTTCTTTTACTGTTGTACTAAGGCAAGTCTCCCAATTCTATCATCACCATAATCCTAGCTATGGCAAAACATCTCTTCAGAAAAAGCAGTAACAATACATCCAATTCATCCCATTGCTAACATCCCAGTACTATCTTTAGAAAGACACTAAAGTGCAGAGCCTCCTATTGATTAGACAGCAAAAAGTAATTATTCCCCCCCCTGGTAAGGACTCAAATCCAAACCCAGAAAAAAAAAAAAATGTAAAAAGATTTATTTAGGACAAGAGCTATTCCTAGACCAATCAAAATAGCTATTTGCCTATCTGGAAATTTCTGTGTTACAGTCAAAAACTTAACTATGTTATTAAGACAACTCTAAGCCTACAGCAATGCAATTTTGGACTACATTATGTTAAGCCAAGGCAACTGCCCAAACTGAAACATATTTCATGTGTATTTACTGGCACTCAAAATTGTCATGTTAGGACTGGATTATGTATCTTCTTCTAATTATGTTTCTTTACTATAAAGAGTCTGAACATCACCTAGAAATATTCTAGTGAGGACCTACCATAATTGGTGTATTTTGGCAGCAGAAATTTAGTCAAGTGTTGGTTTAATAATTCCTATTAAAAATATTAAAAAATACATGTATCATTACTTGTAATACTAAGTAATCACACCACTAAACAAAACTAAGCTTTATGTAATACCTAACAAATAAACTGGGTCTGACATCATTCAATTCTACAGGAGCTTTTTGTAGTGAGATAAGATAGCTCATTGCCTTCTCAATCACTCAACATTCACACATTAAAACTTGCCGTTACTTGATTACTATCTGGCAAAATGTTCTATTCTTTTAGATTCAGCTGGATGATATCTACAGTTTATCTTTTCAGAACCCTAAAAAGTCCTCAATTTTACTTGAACTGTTCAAACTAAAATCTTGACAGTTCACAGGTTACCACTGAATGGAACACTAGGGAGCTATATACTCTCCCTTCTGAAATAACATTCTTTCAAAAAAGGGGAAAATAAAGAAGGGGAAAATCAGCCTTGATTTAAACAGAAATACCTAAAATCCTGAATTCTTTATTCTTCCCAAGCAGCACACTTTTCTAAAGCTACCCTTACAATACTCAATCACACACACCAATGGAGAGATGCACGTCACACAGAGAGCTACATCAAGTGTATTGGTTCCTTTTTCTCCTTAAGGTTTGCCTTAAAATGTAATACAGATGACGGTGAGGAAAGAAAAAATAAAATTCAGGAATAACCAGAATTTCAAGTTTGCTTAGAATTACCCATGTAACACGTTAAGTCACATCGTGCAAAAACAAACGTCTGCCATAGTGAACCATTTACAAAAAGTTCCTCCCCAGCTGCACTTTTTGATCTATTTCTTGGATTGGAATTAACTTATGACATCTTCAACTACAAAATGTAAAAACCACTTGAGTCACAGAATTTAATAAACTAATTAGAAGGAGTTACATGAGCCTTAACTTGAAATATTAAAATTCTTTAAATTGGGAAAATAGCTAGGTCCTCACCTGACATATGCTATTTTTAAATAAAATACTGCCACTCACCATAAAATCCCTTATTTCATTAACTAGAAAGTTATCATCACAATGTCTTCATGAAACATTTCTAAAAAGGAATAGCCAGATATGGTCCAAGAGGAGCCCTGTCTACTACAGTTACATTCTTATACCTTTTAACGTCCCTAAAATTAAAAAAAATCACTAAGCCAAATGTTTCAAAGAATCAGTAACTATAACTCCACCACACTACCGTATAGATCCCAAGTCAGTTCAACTATACCTGCAAAAGATACCGCTATAACGTGGACATAGAAAATGTGAAAGACAGTGCCTAATCAACACTTCAAAAACATTCAGTTAACACAAAAGAAAAGGCCTGGCTTTAATTAAAAATAGCAAATGTGAAGACTGAAAGAAAAAAAACTCACCAGTTTAACAGCCTCCTGAGCTGCTTCTTTTGTACAAAAAGTGACAAACGCATAACCTCTATTGAGACCTGTTAGTGGATCCATCATTAAACGAAGATCCCATATAGGCCCAGCTTTTTCAAACAATGGAACAAGTTCATCCTCAAACAGATCTCTTGGGATCTTCCCCACAAATATCTGTAAATTAAATACGCAGTAAAAAACCATGGAGAATTTCTGTAAGAAACCAGACACGTGTGCATTTACTACGAAGGGTACAAGTTTTTAGTTTCTTTACCTCAGTGCCAACAGAAGGCTGCTGACCTGAATAAACGGAATCTGGAGGCGGTCCCCCATACTTCCTCTGTCCAGTGGTCACATCGAGTGTGTAGCCTGTTCTTTCCAAGAGTGCCTTAAAAAGTTCAAATGTCATTAATATATTTCATTCATAAGACCACACCCGTGCAGCAAGCAGTTATGAAAAGATCAATTTTGTTCAAATCTTCTCATTTATCTTGGCAATATTCCCTACTAACAGGTTTTTGTCTGCTTTAGAACTCTTTTTAATGTGTGCTTATAATTCATAATAAGCCCTAATTTATAATGAAAGTTTCAGGATCCTGGTCAAATTATTTTCTGGTCTCCAATTACTGAGTAGTGCTTAGTGAACACCACAAAATATTGATTCATCAACAACTCTCAAGGCAAAGTATATCTAGTCTGCCCTTCTAAAAAATGACTGCATAATTAAGCTGAAATTCTCTCCTGGAGGAGGAGGTGGATAACTTACCTCTCCCAAACCTAGCTTTCTTACCCAACAAACTTTCCAGTAACCCACACTCCGAGGTACCTACCGCCATTCTGGGAGTTTCACCAACCTTTACAAATTACACTCCTCCAACTAAATCCAGAAACTTAAGGAGACGCAGGAAAAATAACCTCTAATTAATTTGACATTCAAGTGCCATGCGTCACAGGACAGCATGGATCACTCATAAAAAGAGAGCCAAAATGATTTTGGAAACTTTATGAAACTGCAACACAATATAATCTCTACACATTATCTTCCTAAAAGTAAACTGTTAAAATTTATACAACTTATATTTAACTCAGAGCATAAAAAGATTCTTTTTCTCTCTTATTATAAGCAAAAGAGTAGAAACTAGTTGTCCACTGTTAGCCTAAGGAAAAAGTAAGATTATTCCTTTTCCACCATCTCACCCACAACGCACAAAACTAGTTTTCTAAATAAAAAGAATCTAATAATTAGCTGATAAACTTTGAAATAAACTAATAGCAGGCACATGATAAAACTTATCAAAATGCTGTTAAGTGATAGGGGGAGGAGCATTTTACTCCTTAAATGAAAAAGACTGGACAGATTTTACCACTACCAACTCTTTGTGACCCCATGGACATAGCCTACAAAGCTCCTCCGTCCATGGAATTTTCCAAGCAAGAGTACTGGAGTGGGTTGCCATTTCCTACTCCAGGGGATCTTCCCAACCCAGTGATCAAATCCGGGTCTCCATTGCAGGCACACACTTTACCTTCTTAGCCACCAGGGAAGCCCTTATTTCTACCCAAAGAACATTAAATAGTTACAGAAAGATACTGTAATTGATAAAAACTCTATTCCTAAACTCTCTTTAACAAAAAAGTCCACAAAGTGGTACACATTTTAAGTAGTCTTTTTCTATTATACCCACATATATTTGCTTAACAATGCAATATTGGGTTAGTAACAAAAATAAACTCGAATCTCTATCACACAAACTAAACCATTAAATGGCTCATCTTCCCTTTTTCCCATATGCAGTCCCTGTGCTTTTTTCACTTTAATCTTTATATGACCCAAATAATACCTGTTTTATGTCAATCCCTAAAAGCAAAAAGGGAACACTTGTTCCCTCTGAAAAATAGTCTATAAAAATGTCTGATTTCTTGCCACAATTTAAGTCACACTAAAAGCTTTAAGCCACTCCCTTCCAAAGACAGAACTGAATGTTTCACAAACTAAATTTCCAACTTTTTATAAAATTTTAATAATTTTCAGTGTAGATTTACTTACAACTGATCCAATTCCAACGAGTAACAACTATATATTCCATTTCTTTGGAAAAGTAGATTTATAGTTCAGATACAATTCACTCATTTGAAAGCCTCAATTTTATACATTAACTACTAATTCCATACTTCCCTATTCCTATACCATTAAAACACATCTGACACCCATACCCTTCCTAATAACTTATTTTCTTAAACTAGAATCCTTGGTTCAAGAGCAGGGGCACACTATGCTATGGATACTACGTTAAAACTAGTATGATCATCGTATTTTGTACGAACCAAAAAATCAACAGAAGTAAAAAAACACAAAGATCAAAACCTAGCTGACTTTACTACTCTGCGACTTGGGTGAAGGCAGAGGAAGCTGCTACTCTCAGCCTCAGTTTCTTCATTTGCATGTCTACAGTAATCAATTTTATCATTAAAAGTTGCTTTTGGAAATGAACAAATCAGCCTTAAAAATCCACACTAATGAATGAGGAAGAAGGCAGTGTTAAAATACTGAACTCATTTGGGGGCTTGAGAATCCTAAGAAAAGCAGTCAACTGCTAAAAGTACACTCTCCATCAGTATGGTGTCAGCTGATGCCCTCCCCTTTTGGTTCCACTGTCAGTAACCTGGACTTGCAGGTTTCATATGAAAAATATGGTGACTGTAATTCTTCAAAACTTTTATTTAGAATACCAACAGCACAGATTTAAGAAAGACTACATGGGTAACAAGAAAAATTTCCGAGTTGTTTAGAAACAAACTATTAAAGGCAGGGAACTTCAAAAAACAGTAACGAGAAAACATTTAACAAATCATCTGATGGTCGTTCACTCTCAACATTACAACACACACACAAGAATAATTTCACACCCAAGGAATAGTTAGCCAAGCCAGAAAATAGCCAAAGCAACAAACAAAAAACTTTAAAATTGAAAAGAGTAAAAAAGAAACTTCTTGAAGACATACCTTAATTTTTGCTTCATCTGGTCCTTTGCTAGAATCTGCAACTTTGGTCCCCTGTTTTTCTCTCTGCCTATAAGTCTTCATGACTCCACATAAAAAGGCACTTTTGTTCTGTAAAGGAATTTTCCAATTATTTTCAAGAGTAAGTCTTAAATATACCTAACTGAATAAAACAGTCAAAACTACTTTTACACTGACACCAAATTAACGGTACCTGAACATGAGAGAGATCACTGTCTTTAAACTGCTGAAGAACTGCCAATGCGCCGTCTTCATTGAATTCTTTTAAAGCTTCGATAGCTCTTTCATCTAAATCGCTATGTGCAACCAGCCCTGGAAAAGAAAAAATTAGTTGTCAACTTTTAATATTTTTAGAAAGTTTTTTTTTTTAAAGACCATGTTTGCCAATGCAGGTGCCAATTACAAATTCTTCCATTCCTCTTTATCTATATAATGAAAAACACAAGTACCTTAGCAATTAAGAACTAAAGAAGGCCTCTCAACCACACTTAAAATAATGAATCAACTTTTTTATCTTATCCTAAGTCAGGCAGTTCTGAACACCGAGTATTTCTAAGGTAAATACATAGGCTTACAAATTCTAAAATCAACCAACAAAGTACCGAGCATGACACGGGAACCACCACTCAATTTCAAATACCACTAAAAAAAGCAACAGCCACACCGAGACAGACAGACTACAATTACCAAGTTATTTAACCAGAATCCTACCATAAAAATACCCCCAAAAGTCACACACACAGCCTGCTCCCAACATTCAGCAGGTGCTGCTACCATCTGGCCATCCAGCCTTTACCACCTAACCCTTCCTTCTTCCCGCCCTCTACACACCTTAGCCTCTAGTTCACAAGGACCTACTAGAACAACAAGGCAAAACTCCAGGTCCCACATTTCTTGGAAACCACAAAAAGTTGCTATTTTAGTTCAAAGCCAGAAATCCAATAGAAAAATTTCATAATGTAATTTTGCAAGTGTTAGTTCTTACCTGCAACGTAAATTTCATCTAGTTTTTCAGCAACTTTCTGTGGTAAACCAGCATCAAGCAATGTCTGAAAATTTTCTGAATGGATAACTGCAGAAGTAGTATCCATGGGCTCTTCAGTACCATTTCCATTAACATGTTCTGTAGCCATGTTTCCAGAGATCTGTTCAAACGCAATAGGCAAAATTAAACTAGTATCTTCAAAAAGGGTAGGACAATATGAGAGCCCCAATCTGGACTTTCTCTACCAATTTCTACACCAGCCAACCTATACATCCCTTTAAATAGGCCTTACTTTAAAGTCACTTTCGCCTGACAAGCCAGATTTGGAGCGCGGGGCACCGAAGGACGGATCCACTACGTTTTTCCTTAGCACCACCCCTGACTCACCTGCTAACACTCCCTAGGAAAAACCACATTACAAATGGAGCCCAACCAGCACGAGGACCAGCCAGCGTGCCACATGCAACTGTGCCCGTACAGAGAATGAGGTGTGTGTGGAGCGAGCAAAGCTGGGCTTTTCCCTCTCAAAGGTAAACCCCTAAAGTGCGCGCTTTTCCCGCCTGCCGCTTAAAGATCAGTAACAACAGCCAGCGAAGAACAAAGCGCTCACACAAGCTACCTTCCCACCACCCCGCTTCTCCACCCTTCACCTCCGCACCCCAAAGCCCGCCCCCGACTCCGCACCCACAGCGGCAGCCTCACCGCCGCGGCCACCGGGAACCCATTAGAAACACGTGCTCCGCGCCTTCAAATGTCCTACAACTTCCTTCAACAGCAACCCACCGAGTCCCAGGCCAAGACGACCGTCACCAGCTCCCGACAGCAACCCAGAGCCTCGGCCAGAGCCCCCAGCCAGCAGCAGCAGCACAACCTCGCCCCTCGACACCGAGGCCGCGGCGGCGCCAGGCCACAGGCTCTCCCCGCCCCCCAGCGCCTCCGTCTCGGCCGTGACACATGGCTCTCTCTCTGCCCCGGGCGCCGGCGACCCCCGGCCGCCCGCCCGCCCCGCTGAGACGCGCGCCGTGGCGCACAGTACAAGCCCCCACCCCTGGCCGGTCCTGGCAGTGACTGGGGCGCGGGGGTCGCCGGTGCCACCCGCGGGCCGGGACCGGCAAGCCGGCGGCGTGAGGGCGTTCCGCTAACTGCCCCACGCCCGCCAGACCCCAAACACCACCCCAGCCCGCCGCGCGGCTGCGGGACGGAACCGGCTCCTCTCCGCCCACTCCCGCGCCGCGGCGACGGCCACGACAGCACCAACTCCGCCACCGCTCGCGGTCCGCGCGGGCCACGGGGCCGCCTCCTCCCTGGAGCGCCGCAGACAAAGCCCGAACAGCGGCAGCACATGGAGGGGAGGAGGAAGTGACGGCGCGGGCCGCGGCCTACTCCCGAGCAGCCCCAGTCAACGTGCTCCCCTCTCCCTTGGAATCCATTTTCCAGAAAAGCCGGTTTCTCCCCGCACCGCCCTCCCCCAGCTCACTCCACAATGTCACGGAGCCCCCTTCCCAGACCCGGGTCCCAGCGGTCGTTACCTCCCCGTTGGGCTGCGGCGGAGGAATCCTGTCCGAGGAGATCCGGGTGCGGGCAACGCGTGCTCGCTGCTCCCTGTGTCCGGCGCGAGTGGAGCTGTTGTAAAATGGCGGCCGAAGCTCACGCCGCTGGCAGCAAACCCGATCCAGTTCCACTCGCCTCCGAGCGCGCTCCCGGTGCGCGCGCGCGCCTCCGCGTGACCCCCCCTCCCCTCCCCTCCCTCGCGCGTCCGCTTCTCTCACTCACTCTCTCAGCCCCTGCCCTCCTCCAGCTCCTCCTTCTCCTGCTCCCACCACCACCAGCGCCCGTCAGCCCTCTTCCCTAGGCCCTTCTTCGTCCGCTCCCTGCTTCCTTCTCCCGCCGCTCGCACTGCCGTTCGCGACCGCTCCGGCACAAGTGGCCGCCCTTCCTCTCCTGGCTGCACGCTGGCTCACTCGCTCCCTCCCTCGCTCGTTCTCCCGGCCCGGTCCCCCAGTCCCTGCCGAGTCGGCTCCTCTCTTTCTCTCTCCCGCGCTGACGTGACGACGTAGCCTACGCCTCGGGACGCGCGCCCGCGGGCTCCGCCCCCACTCCCCGCCACCCTCGCTCCTCATCGCACGGGAGGGCGCGAGACCCCGCCCTTCCGCTCCGGCGGCGGCGGAGGGGCCAGGAGTGAATGAAAGGCCCGCCCCTTCCCCTCCGACACTCCCCCTCCCGCTCCCCTCCGGGTGGGGCGGGCCGGGCCGGGCCGGCTCAGCGTGTCCCACTCGCTCTCCTTTGTCAGGAGACAGGCATCTCCCCACCCCGCCCCGCCCCACCCCCACCGCGGCACCACGCGCACGCCACCCCCACCGAGCTCCCGCTCGCCCCACCCCCCGTTCAGTCCCGGGCCAGCCGGGAACGGGGCGGGGGACGCGGGACGCGACCGCAGCTGCCCTGAGAGTACCCACCCGTCCGTGCGCGCCCGGCCCGCGCCCTCGGCGCCGCGGCCGCGCAGCCGTTCCAGGCGGTGTCCACGCCGCCGCCGCCCCGCGCTCTCCTTGCTCAGGAGGCTGCAGGCGCACGTGTCCCCCGGGGCGGGGCGAGGCAGACAATGGAGCGGCGGGGGAGGGAGTGGCGTGGAGACCCGCGGACCTTCGGTCCGCCTGGCTGGAGGGCCCCGAGTGCGGAGTCGCCCCTGGATGACTGGGTCTCCCTTGCAGGACAATGGGAGCTCCGGGGCCCCAGCCCGCGTGGCTTCCCTTCCACGGGAACCTCGGGCGGAGGGAGGGGCGCCCGGGGCTGGGACGAGGAAACCCCGGCTGCTTTTGAAGGGGGACCGGCTGTCTCCAGTGGAGCAAGGAGCTGCTCCCGCCTCGGGATGATACGAAAGCCAGATTTGGAAGCGAAACCGCTGGGTGGCGAAGAGTTGTGCAATACTCTTTTTTCAGTCCCTGGCCTTTTAAGCAGTTACGGGCTTCCTCGCAGCACAGTTTGAGCAACTTGATGCAGCACAAAGCTGCATGGTTTGGGCAACTGTGAGGCACGTATCTGTGTTTGTTTTCAAAAAACTTCAGTGACATTTCTTCTGTAACCGTGTACTAAGTACAAGAAAGACAAGACAAAGACATTTGAATTTCAGACGCGATGTGGATATTAATTTTACTTAATGCAGCTGTAATGAAAAATAGGAATAGTGTCCTTTTAATTAAAAAGCAAGCTTAGTTTTAAGAGCTTACTGGTTCCCTAAACGATCTATTCTATGACGACAAATCAGTGGTGCAAGAAAAAGTTAGGTGACTGCTCTTCAAAGTGCTTAAACACATCATATGTCAAATTATTCTCATTGGTGCCTGGATGAAGATATAAAACTTTTTAAATAATTTGACAAGACCTGCCACACTGTTTAGCAAAGATCTGAGCTCTTCATTACCTAAAATTTTTTACTGTCATACGTGGACCTGCTATTGTATTCAGCTAATTGAGCAATAAGGGTTTTAGTTCATAATTCGAAGGTTGTAGATAATGTTATAAATGAGAACAAATAACCAAGATGTTTAATACAAAAATACGATCAAAACTGAGCAATCCTATACATTAAAGAATGAAAATAATAGATCTAACCATTCAACACTTTCTTTTAGACTTTTCTGAAGATCAATTTTCCTTTAGAAGAAGAAAAAGAAGAAAAGTGCTTTTGCCTAGGTAATGTCGTCTACCAGCTGACCAGATTCCCCAAATTGAAATCTCTCGTTCTTCTTCCACCCAGAATTACTTTGTCTAACCCAGCCACCCCCAGACCTTTGTGTGGGCGTTAGGCAATCCAAACCAACTTTGCTAAAAGCAGCACGGATCTTCGTCCTAATGATCAGTCTCCAGAATCCCCGCCGCAGTGAATGTGGCCCGCTTGCACCCAGCAGCACTAGCTGAAAGCCGGGGTCATTCAGGACAACACCTGCTGCCTCGATGCCCTCTCGGTTAGTCAAGCTCGGTAAATTCTGTTTTCCGATACATCTGTTTCTTTCTGTTGCAACCGGGGGATAAGCTACCATCACCTGTTACCTGGACTAATGATACAGCCTGCTGATTCATCCATCCTTGAAGCTTTCCTAAACCATTCAAAGCTTGTGTGTGTGTCTGTCTGTCTTTTAATTGCAAATAAGACTCTGGAGCATCTGCTTCAATCCCTTCATTAGCTTCCCAGTACACTTAGAACCAAATCCTTAACTAGATCAACAAAGCCAACTCTCCGCCCCCTTCCGAACTTTCCACTGGCCTCCCCTCAATCCTGACGTTTCTCAGGATGGCACACACTGAGCACCGAGACAGAAACCTGGTCAGAGACGCCCTGAGCAGGCCTGAGAAAAAAGCGATCAGCCACGCTCTGCAGTTGACATCCTGTTGAGAGAAGCAATAGTATAATTTTTCTCCTGACCTACAGAACTTACTATTATTATGAATTTTTTTCAGCACCTACAGTAATATCATGGCACAGTCCTAACTCCTTTGCAAGGCTGACTCCAGGTGGTTTCATTGTAACAAATTTATTTCTTAAATGCAGGCAGAGAGGCTCAGAGACACTTTTATCTCTTAATATTTTCTTGTTGCTGCTTTTGCCCTGAAAATTAGTGAATACATTTTTGGCTTGATGCCAAAGAATTACTACTGTTACTGAAACATGGCGTACTCCTAATAATTCTTTAAAAAATAAATTAGTAGATAGATTCATTTGGTACAATAGGTACATTCGGCTAGATTGAAATGTATATGAAAGATCTGACACAACAAAGTTCTCAATAAATGTGTGTCCTTACTTCCCTGAATCCTCTTTAGTACTGAACACAGGATATGATGCTCAATAAATATTTACTGAATGAAACCAAATGATGATACGGACTTCCATGGTGGTCTGGTGGTTAAGAATCTGCCTGCCAGTGCGAGGGACTTGGGCTTGAACCCTGTTCTAGGAAGATCCCACGTGCCTCTGGGCAGCTAAGCCCATGGCTGCAAACTACTGAACCCACGCTTGGAGTCCATGCTCCCCAACAGGAGAAGCCACTGCAATCAGAAGCCCACGAACCACAACTAGAAAAAGCCTGCACACAGCAAGGAAGACCCAGAGCAGTCAAAAATAATAGATAAAAATAACATGCATTATGTCAT